CACACACTCCTACACAAATACACAAACACACGCATCTTCTTTAAAATGGAATTATGCCACAGGATTTTAAGCCATCTACTTAGAAAGCCCAGAGATCCTGCGTGGGAGGCAGGTCAAGGACCGGGCAAGGGGAGGAATCTTGAAGCCAGACATCAATGGAGTGGAGGCGGGTAGGTTTGCCCTGAAGTTATTTTATGCCTCTCACAAGAGCTACTGACATCTCAGAAGTTAGGAAGGGAGAAGTAAACATCTCACACTATCCACTTAGCAGAGTGGCTATCTGGAATCAAGTTCCTCAAAAGACAGAAAGACAGAGGGAAATGGGTGGGGGAGTCATTTGTCCTCAGAGATAGACCAAGAAGGATCTGTCTTATAATAAAGACAACCCAGACCCTAGAGACACCTGGGTCTGGGTTTCAACTGCACTGATTAGCTGTGTGACCTTGGACGAGTTACCTTACCTCTCTGAGCTTCAATTTCCCAGTTTTATAATAAGGTTTACCTTGAGAGTTCAGTAAGATGTAGGCAGTGCTTGGCACAATGCCTAGCATAGAGTGGACATTCAACAAACGCTATTTCTCTTTTCCCTCCATCCCATGGGGGACAGTAGGGAACATGAAACCTCCAGGAAACACTGAGCCTTGTCGCCCAGGATCAGTCACCAAATCCTGGCTTGTTCTATCATAATTTCATTTCTGTTCCTGAGATGCATCATCCCTGAGTATTAGATCTGATTTTGCCCCTGGTATTTTGGGTCTCTGTCTAATTTTTGCTCCCAAAATTGGGTTTTCTGGCTGTGTCTCCTCCTGTGAACTCCTTTTGCTGTCCCTGCTGCCTGATTCCACTCCATTCTACCTATTTTCTATTTTTTTTTTCTCTTTCTGTTTCTTCCTTCCTCCCTCCCTCCTTTCCTTTCTTCCATCCTCCTTCTTTCTTTCCTTCCCTTCCTCCCTCTCTCTCTCCTTCCCTCCTACTTTCCCTCCTTCCTTTCTTCTCTCCTTTCCCCCTCTGTCCTGTCCACAATAGCTGCAGACATTCTACTACGTGTCCAGTGCCGTGCTAGGCATGTAGCCCAACAGGCAGGCCCAGAAACAAGACAAATGCAGTCCCTGATCTCAAGGGCCTTCATTCAGATAGGAGAGACAGAACATGAACAAATATATAACAGGATGTTAAAATGGAAGTGTAGCCAGGGCACCAACAGACAATAGCTCTCATATTTCAAAGGAAGTACTAGACCATATGCAGAATTTGCAAAGTAGGCTGTCAAAATCAGCTTCATATCAACCGTATATACAGGCCAAGAGTTGGATTTGGGAAAAATATTTTAAGCAGAGAATTTCTTGGAGTAAAGCTCTGCTGTGAATCCCACCCCTACCCAGCGAGGAGGAGTGGGAGACTATGGGAGGCTGTGGGAGGCACTATTATATTCACAGGTGTTTGGTTTTTTTTTTTCTACTTCTGGGCCCCGGAGAGACAGCACGCCATCTGATCTACCCCTCTGCCCTTGAAATTAGAAATGGCCTGCGATCTGCTTTGACCAGTGAAATGTGCCCCTTGCAGACTGAAGCATTTTCCGACAGGAATCAGCCCTACAGTCCCCTCTTCCCTTGCTGTGGCACTTGTCGAAGCATTTTCTAATTACTTAATTCTATTAAAGTGATTTAACCCAAGCACCAAAAATATTGACAATATCTGAGTGACCATCTAGCACCTAGTTAAGGTAAAACTTATCTTTTCATTATTTTATCCAGATCCCCAGCAGACCTGAGAGCAAGAAATGAACGTGTGTAGTATGAAGCCACTTTGGTTGGGAACTCTTTATTAACTGTTCAGAGCAGAGCTGAGGGCTACTGTTTGGGAAATAACTTACTTCCAGAGTGTGCCATAGCAAAGAGATGACAAGAATTTCAAAGAGCGTTGCAGCTGGTCAACACCACGGTAACAGTCAAATGAAGACTTCCCTGCTCCCCTTCCCTCTTCTCTCTCCCTGCATCCAGTCCTGGAGGTGTCCTGAACATGGCTAGCAAGACAAGAGAGGAGCAGAAGTACTAGGTGAATGAAGAAAGGGAGAAAGTACTGACCATTTATCTTCCTTCCGCAGCAGCTTCTGGCCTGCGGTGGAGAAAGGAAGAAGTCACCCCTTTAAGGCCAGATTGTGGTGCTGCTAGTGTAATTCACTCACTCAGAAGAATCCATGGAACTCTTTCTTACATAATAATAATTGCAGAGGTCAAGAGCCCAGCTGAGTTTTCATCCAGAGGCAGGAGAAGAACTAGCCCCACAGAATGTATGTAAACTGGGACCGTGGGGGACAAAAATAAAGCTCCTTTATGATTCCATCGCACGAGTCATGCGTATTCAACACAATGGTACAGATAAGTCTACAGATATTTTCTAAGTTCAGCAAAGTCACATAAAATATTTGGCCGGAGTGTTATAGCTAACAAAATTATTTGTGAATCAAACAAAGCAGAAAAGTGTCCAGCCACTGGCACAAAACCAAAAGAGGTACTTAGAGAACCACCAGGGTGTCTCTGAGCCCTGAGGATTCAGGTCACCGTGGGCCATGACCTCGAGCCCTTCAGTTACTGGTGGCATATCTGTAGCAAACGCAGAGGTTGATTCTTTAGGATGTCTTAGCTTCACGCTACTCAGTTTTCAAGCTGTGTAATTAAATCCTACTGTTCTAATTCTACACGTGCCAGGGGTGATGGAACTGTCAGCTGGCTTTCAGCATCCACCCCCCTCTTCTGCTGGGCATTCGGATACTGGAAAGGCTGGAAACATTTCCTAAAAACAACAATATAACAAAAACATTTCCCAGACTCCCTTGCTGATTGAGTGATTGAGTTCTGGGAGAGAAATAGGTTTCACCACTCAAATGTATTTGAGTGAAATTTTGCAGGTGAAAGTGAGGCAGAGGCTGTCTTCCTGCAGACAAGCAAGGGGTAGTGATGCCAGTAGGCTTTTGTCAGACTCCATGTCTCGGTGTCCAGGCAGTTGTCAGGGTGGCAGGCGTGGATTCCTGAGCTCTGCATCACAGCTATAGCTTTGTGTGATTGACCTCAGTGATGTCAGGGTCACCACTCTGATCACTCCAGATTATGTCAAAGGTAACAGCTCTCTGCTAGGACTCATTCCTGGAGGGCCAGCTTAGAGTCTGTTCTCCAACCCATCCAACAAATTTGGAAGCACCCAATTCCTCATGTTAAATAAATCTCTTTCTCCTTCAAATATCCAGAGTTTCTTTTTCCAGCATTAAGCCCCGACTGATGCATGAAAGCACCTTCTGATTGTAATTTAACTGCTCATTTGGCATGGCCACAAAGAGAGTATGCTTTGTGGTCAGAGGACGTGAGTAGCCATTCCGAGTGGTAATATTTCTCGGGGAGGTCTGATGCTGCCCGTCAGACTCTTATGAAGGTCATTGGCATAAGTTCATTGGCATTCACTCCTGAGTCTGAGCTATCCAGGGGCATGACCAAACTGTGTTTCTATACATAAGGTTAGACTGATGTCTGGACATGAGTGAATTCACCAAGGAAAATGCCATCTTGTGAGACCTTGGAGGAAACAGGCCACCTGGCTTTTTCTGGTGGCACCTTAACTTCACATACACCTCAACATTCAGACACCCCATAAGTCTGAATCTCCTTGTGGACACTCCTTGTGGACACTCCACTCCTGGTGAGCCCAGCCCTGCCAGGCTCTGCCGCCCAGGCAGCAGATCTGGACGCCTTAACCGTGTCCTCCATCCCCGGTTCTCCTCCTGCTGCTCCCTGCCTGGTCCCTCCTATGACAAAATCACCACACAGCGGGATGGCCCAGTTAGCTGCTCATCAGGAAACTCTGCCATTTTGGCCAGAAAAGCCCAGTCTGGAGGCATTTCCACCCAGGCAAGAGACAAAGCAGGTTGTGCTTTTCCCAAGCAACCACAGCAGGGAGTCATGCATCAAAGTCAGCGCCTTGGCAGGGATTTTCTCTTAACCCATCCTTTGCTGTCTGTTCCATTTGAGCTCCTCAAACAACAGATGCTTTTGAAGGCAGAAACTGTGTCCCCATGTCTTTATCTTCCCAAACCCTGGCTCTGGACTGTGCAGAGCGTAGACCAGGGGTCCTCAAACTTTTTAAACAGGGGGCCAGTTCACTGTCCCTCAGACCGTTGGAGGGCCGGACTATAGTTAAAAAAAAACTATGAACAAATTCCTATGCACACTGCACATATCTTATTTTGAAGTAAAAAAACAAACGGGCAAAAACATCTGCATGTGGACCACGGACTGTAGTTTGAGGACGCCTAGATAGTGACGGTTTGTCGAATGAATGACACTCTGGTTTTTGCCTCTTTTCCTGCCCCTCTCCCCTTGCACTGTGCATACCAACCACACAGGGTCGATTTCCTTTTGTGCTGTCCCTTACCCGCTGCCTTCGCATACTCTTTTCTCACTCCATTACACACATCTGCCTCAAGTCGCCGCTTACACCTCCACTTTCCCCAGGAAACTTCCCTGCCTCCTTAGACTAGTCTCTCCCACGGGACATTCCCACAGCTCCTGTGCTTTCTCCTCGCAGCACCCATCACCATGCACGTACCTACTTGTCCAAGCATCTGGCCTCCCCACTACATGGTGAACTACAAGCAGGCAGTGGAGCACACAGTCTGTAAATATTTGCAGAACGAACGGATTTCTCCATGAAACACGTGCATTCAGAGTTAGGACCTTTCTCCCAAGAACTCTCAGCCAGATTCTCTGACCAGAGAACATTGCAGGGAGCCCCAGTCTACATGTCTGCCCTTCTAGAAGATAGCCCACCCCATGCTGCCCCTCTCCTGCCCCAGGCTTGCTGTGCCTACCTCACCCACCAACACTCACCGTCTCTTGAGGGTTAGTATTTATGTTATCCCATATGCTGTGTTTACTACAGCAGTTTACATTTACCTTTTCTCTGCTTTCCTTTCATTGTGCCATTTTTAGCCCATTTTATTCCTTTGAATTATATTTTCTCCTATTTTCTTTATTCCTATTTAAAATAAAGTTTTATTGTAAGAAGGTATAGCTCTAGCAGATGATTTGTCCTAAACCAGGAACATGAAATGTCACTCCCATCTTCTCCCATTCCTCCCCAGCAGTTCCCACTACAGAGCAATTTCCTCTGTCCACAGGACACCTCCTGGTCTAGTCCTGGGAGAGTCCCGAGAGTGTAAAGACTGCTCACTAGGATGGTGAAATATTTCCCACCAAAAGTCACTGCATCTGATCACAATGAAGAGCAAAAGGCCAGGAATGTCTGGCCCAGAGAGCCAATAAGTTCAGCCTCCAAATACAACACTACTTCATGTTCAGCCCTGTGAGCTCTGCCAGGATCACATTCAGGAGGCTGCATCTCTAAAGTGTCAGAAAATTTCTGAAAAGTGAGCAAATTAACAAAGAATGAATGAATGAGCAAATGACTGAAAGCGTGAACAGATGGATGAATGGATAGATGGTACATGAATGAACTAATGAACAACTGAATAAATAAGAGAAATGAAACAATCAGTGAATGAACCAATGAGTAAATAAATGGACATTAAATAGACAGATGGATGTGAGGGGCAGAGGGATGGATGAGTGAATGAATGAATCCCTGGGAGAGTAAGTAAGTGAATTAGTGAATGAGTCATTGAATGAGTGAATATATGAGTGAAGAAATAAATGAGCAAATTAATAAACGAGTTTTAGTGAGGCCTGTAACTCAGGCATAAACCAGGCATGCTCTGGAGACTGGAAAATGGAACTTGATAGTAAAAATACAATAAAGCAATTAAAAACAAAAACCTGTGATAATACAGAGCTCATTGATCAGTGCCCCCAGATCAATATTCTTCTGGACAAGTCTTCAGCACAGCTTCTCAGCCCCACCCTTTGGCTGTCACTGGAGCTGTGGACATTCTGAAAATGACAGATTGAGAGACAATGTGTAGGTGTCGAAAGATTGTATATTTGCTCAAGACAGTGGCTCTTTTTCCTAGCTGTGCTTTAGAATTATGTGGGGAATTTCTTAAAAGTAATTCTGAGTTACCTGGATTTGGGGCAGAGGGCAGAGGTCAGGAGGCAGAAGGGAGGCAGGTGCTGCTTTCTTTGTTTTTTATAAAGGCACCCACAGATTCTCCTGTGCAGCCATGGTGAAAGGTTCCATGGTGAATGAATTTTGATGTGGCTACTTGGACATAATCATTTAGATGCCAGTGACATTCTCATGTGACCAAACAAAAAAAAATCAGCCTTTCTGCTGCTCTTTGAACTGAGTAATATGTGAAACTGGCACCCTCAATCTACAAGACTTATTTCATTGCCCACCCTGCCCACACCCTTTTGAGGGGGAAGACTTGCCCTGTGACTCTCACCTGATTTTACAGGGTGGACCCAGGGGCAGAGTTCCAAAGTAGAGGTCAGATGTGATAAAATGCAAGAATGGAGCACGATTCCAAGAAGAAGGAAAACACATGGGGAGAGAGGCTCAAAGATGTCTAAAATACACATTACTTGGTCATTAAAATCTTTGTTTTACATTTGTATGTAGCCACTTTGCCCCAGTGGCATCAAAATGGTCAAGATAAAATGTCTCGTCTGTCAAAATGTCTTGCTTATGAGACAAGATGGCAGATGAGCTTTTGCTGTACATGGAAACAGCAAGATCCCTGGTGAGCACCTGGCCAAGGGACAGGCAGGAAACCAGGAGGAGAGCAAGCCAACCACTTGCAGAACAAACATGGTGTTCTTGGTGCCTGGGAAGCAGCAATCTGGGAGGTGCTTCTCTGCTTCAGTGGGGGTGCCTAAGCTTGGGCCAGAGGACGATTTCAACCCTGATGGTATTTTATGCCTCTTTCCTATGTGGATTGCCTTCATTTTTAAAAATGTTTTTTTGAAAGTCCATTCTACTTCACTTTCAGAAAAGAAAGATTTGGAGGACAGTAAGAACAGAGAAAACCACCTGGTCTCTTGGGATGAAGAATGAGGTGGGCTTGGGGACATACCATGGAGAATTGCTCACCTGTTCCCAGGTGCTTGCTCCACAGAAGATAAAGGAACCAGAAGGGAAGAAGATCTTGAAACTTGAAACTTGCAGGAGGTAAATTCAGGCTCAATAAAAGGAAGTGCTGCTTCACACAGCAGGGAGCAGATTTATAGAACTCATCATCCCAAGAGAAGACACAGCTGAAAATTAGGATCCCCAAACTTGCAGATATATGTTGAGTTATTGTAAGAAGATGGTGACAGTAAATTGACATCAAAGAGAACAATCCTGTTCTCTCCTCATTTTGTCTTCAATGCCCTAGATTAAGACAAGATCCTGGACTGCAGGCACCAAGGCGATGACCTAATGAGACGATCCAGTGAACTCGTGTTTGATCTGGAGGTAACAATTGCCTAGGAAACTAACTTCCTTCCTTCTCATTTCCTTCCTGATGAGCACCAGTGACAGGTTCCATCTGTTAAACACCTTCTATTTTCTAGGCACTATGACTTTACACCCACTATCTAATTTAAATCAAGAATCCAAAACACACTTATTGAGTAATTTTTTGTGTGTTTCATCTCTTTACAAGATTCTGTGGGTAGTGAGAATTAAAAGACTCTGTCTAGGTCTTTAAGGAGTCTATGATGCTTTTGAGAAGGCAGAGTAAATATGAATAATTTATTAAACAAGTGACATATATAGGAAACCACTCGAAATGATTGACAGATATAGGAAATCACTGCACGTTTGAGGTGTGTGAGATGACGGACCAGTGGGGCTGAGGACTTGGCAACTGCATGTTTAATGGAGTTCCAGCAGGAGGTTATGAGTAGGGCCTGGTTCCAGACAGCCTGATTTCGGATCCCAGCTGTTGCATTTCAGAGCAGCAGAATTTGGATAAATTATTCAATCTCTCTGAACCTCAGTTTCTTCATCTGTAAAATGCGGATGCTAATATCTCTCTCGTGGGATTGTTGAAAGATTAAATGAACCAACTCACACAACGCACTTAGAAAACTGCCTGAAACACAGTACGTGCTCAGTAAGCATTAATTAATATTTCTGTCTCCGGTAAGGGCCACCATGAGGAGAGAGGTGACCAGGAAGGCAGGCCAACAAGCTCCTCTGCTGGGTGCTATGCGGTACAGATGAAATTCAGAAAATCTCATCTCGTGCCGTCTCTCTCGACTGCCGCACTCAAGCACACTGCCCTTCTCTCTGTTCCTTGAGCATGACAGCGAGCTCTTTCCACCTCGGAGTTTTCACACGCGACTTCCTCCTGCCTGGAGTGTCTCTCCTCCCCCGTTCTTCACAAGGCTGCCTCCCACTCATCCGAAAGTCTAGCTTAAATGTCACTTCCTCAGAGAGGCTTTCCATCGCCATCTGTATCCACCAGGGTCCTGGCGGGAAACAATGGCGCACTCACTTGGGATAATTCAAGGAGATCTGATAAAAGGACTGTTCATAAAGGTGTGACGTGAAACAAAGGGGGACCACCAGGGACAGGGCAGAGCTACCCTTAGGCCAGAAGGATGAAGGAGGCGGACAGTGAATGCAGCCAGCCCAGGGTGACCAGCTCGGAGAAAGCCAGGGAATAAATACTCAAACCCCACTCTCCCCTCACTCTCTAATCTCCTATGGGTGACTCCCTTTGGCTGAACCCTTCTAGAAGCCAGAGGACAAGAGAACCCATTGGTGTGGACCGTCCAGGGCAAAGACTACCAGGAGCAAAGTAGAGACACCTGGCACACCATCTAAAGCACATTCTCTTTGTCATCTTCACGGAATCTTGTTCTTTCCTTTAATCACAGTTAGAACAATCTCTGTTTACTTAAGATCTATCTCTGACAACTGCCATGAGCACTGGAACTCTGTCAGTTTTGCTCACCACTGGGAACTCAGGATGCAGCGCATCGCTGTGGACAGAGAAGGTAACTGGTAACTGTTTCAGACCAAGGAATGAGTGAATAAAGTTGCTGCTACCCAAACAAGTTTCAAACTATATTGCCCAAAGATGTGCAGCCAACGCAAGCTTGGCCCAAACCAGTGGCCAAGAGTACCAGTGTGCAAGAGACTCGGTCATATGGACAGGTTCCCTGTAGGTAAAAACTACACCTGGAGTTGCAGGATCCTGGTTCCAGGTCACTCGTCCGTTTTGAGCAGGACGTGAGTCAACAGCTGAGCATCAGAGGCAGAGTTCAGCACCCTGGACAAGGCCTTGCAAGAACCAAACAGGGCAGCTGGCCTCAGCGGGGCTCAAGCCCAGGTAAGAATCAGATTGCTCGGGGAAAGAACTGAGGCAGACTCTGTCACAGAGACCAACAAACCAACCTCCCTCCATTCTCCACACCACAGCCAGGGTCATTTTTCTAAATTATAAACCGATCATGCCATTCCCCCACTTTCTCCTTTGTTCCATGCCTGTGATGTGCAGGTCCAAACCCTTTCATGTGGCTTTTAAGTCCCTGCATACCCTGGCCCCTGCCTGCCTCTCCCGCCTCATCTCACACTTCCACCCACAGCGCGCACACACACACATGCACTCACACACATACACATATGCTCACACACACACTCACGTGCACACATATACATACACACCACCTGGCTTTCCACTATGCCACTCCTCTCTCACCTCTGCGTCTTTTCACATACAGTTCCCTCGACTGAAACACTCTTCACCAGTAATTCTCTTTTACCTGACTCAATTTTGCTCATTCTTTGGGCCTCAGCTTAGGCCCTGCTTCCTTTGAAGTGGTTCCTGGCCTTCCAAGGCAGGGCTGCAGAGCTTTTCCTTTGGGCTTTTGGGTTATCTTGGCACCCAGCACCTCCCTCATCAGAGCACCTGCCACTCTGTATCGCACTTGTCTATCTCAATGGCTGTCTTCCTACTAGGCAATGACTTCACAAAGGCAGGGCAGAGTCTGTCTTGTCCACCAGGGTACACCCAACACCTAGCACAGTGCCTGGCACATAAGTGTTCTAAATATTGCTCCATGACTGAATGGATGGATAGATGGTGGGCAGAGAGACGCTACATGATGAGTGTGAAGAGCAGGCTTTGATTCAGGATGGTTCAATGGAAACCCACCAAAACGTGCTGAACACGGGCCAAAGAGAGGCAGAGAGCGTGAGTCACTGCAGACCCACCCCTGGGGTCAGACACTCTGGAAGGATGCTGCCCTGATTAGACTCACCAGGGGAGGTTGTATTGCCTGTGAGTGAGCAGGGCCAGAGAGGACCAGGCTAACGTGTCACTCAGGAACAAATTCAGGAAAGAAACGAACACTGGGACTCAAAGGAAGTGATGGGCAGGAGTAATAATATTGTCACAGCATACATTATTGAACACTTATTTCATGTCAGGCTTGGAGCCAAGAGCTTTATATATTTTATTTCATGTAAGTGACACAGGCAGAATGTGAACCCAAAGAGTCTGATTCCAGAGCTACACACTTAATGAATATACTACAAAGTCTCTCAAAGCTTGGATGGAGATGAAACAGGAAGACGTTCCAAGCAGAGACATCCAACAAAGACAAAGATGGCAATAAGAAGGTCTTGGACAAGATGTGACAGGCTGTCGGCTCCTGCAGATGTAGGGAAGCAGAGGGAAGAAGACAAGGAGAGGACTGAAGGATACAACTGACTATCGGGCTAAAGACTTCAGAGTGGGACCAGAGGCAACAGGAGGTGGGTTAGAATCACAATTACCTGAGACAGAGCTTTCTGTGGGTGACGGACAAGGTAGGTGAGAAAGGAAGAAAAGACAGAAGATCAGCTGGTAGGCTTCGGGGTGCCCAGGTGACAGGTGAGAAGTAACTGGACTTGGAAGGTGGCCTGGGGAATACAGGAGCCATGGCAGCAGAACACAGCGTAGTATCTAGGGAGTGAGAGGCAGTGGGCAGCCCTGTTCAGCCCTGTGATTCTGTTTTCACTCTCAGTGCAAACTAAAGAACTGACTCAATCCTGGCTGCTGCCCCAGACCCGCAAGCTGCTTCTGTTTCCATTTGTCAACACAGGCAGAACAAGAGTCACCCACAGTGGTTGACGCCTTGCTGCTGCATGCAGGGGCTGGAGATCCCAACATTGTCAGCCAGTGCAGGTTTTGGGGTCTCTGACCCCCCAGTCTCTTCAGGATACCGAGGAGGAAGCTTGATTTAATCAAATTGATTTTTAAAAACAATTTCTGTGATGACTTTCATGGAAATAGGCCACCAGTAGAAACACCTTGTGACAAATAAAAATTAAAATGTCTAAAGAGCTTCCACCGTTGCCACTGATCCCTCAGGCTGGCTCCCTCGGGGACTAACTCTTCTCCCAAGTGTGCCCCTTGACCAAGCAGGGACAGCCCACCCAGTCAGGAGTCACTGGGGGCAAAAGGGAATGGCAGAGCTCGATGAAGGTGTGTGGGCATCTCGCCCCTCAAATGCGTCCTCCATTAGCGCCCAGTGAGAGTGTCCTACAACACACACTCACCGACTCATCATGCTCCTTAAAACCTGCAGGACTTCTTGAGAGCCTGGGGATGAAATCAAAACCCTTTGGGCCCTTTGGGGTCAGGCCCCAGGCTCCCTCCCAAGCCCCCAACACTCTGTGCTTCTGCAGCAGGGAATGGCTTTCACGTGCCTCCAGAGCACGCACCTGCCCCTCACTGCAACGCATCCTTTAGGGATCTGACCAGACAGAGAAGGGTGAGTTGGGAGTAACTCTTGGGCAGGAGACCCTTCTGAAAATATAAGTAGCAGATGAGGTATGGCAGAGTGGCCCAGGGAGGTAACAGGAAGCACAAAGGTGCACCTCAATTTGCTCTTTAAAATGTACCCCGGTTTTGTGCTGAAGCCCTGGTGACCCCCCTGGAAACCCAGAAGGGCTCTGACATAGACCAGAACCTGAGGCCCGAGAAGCCTGTCCCTGCCTCCTCCCGGACTGGGATCCCACAACGCGGCCTGCCTGTCGGCAGCCCTTGACCTGAAAGCGCTGAGACTCCACCCCTAAGCCTGTCTTACGAGCTCAGGGAAAGCAGCTGATGGAGGGTCAAGACCATAAACTTAGGAGTCTGCAGACTGGGTTAGATCCTGCCTCTGCCTCTTCCTAGTTGCTTCAGTTTCCTTCACTGTGAAAGAGGATAATGAAGGTTCTCTCTCAAGGCTGTTAGGGTAAATGAATATGAGCACTGTGCCCAGCACATAATGCGCGGTCTCCTCACCCCCTTCAAAGGTCACCTGTTCCTTCTGTGTATATCCAGGATAGGGGAGTCCCATGCCTCTCCCCATCCTGCAGGCTTCCAGTCTGAAGGGGAGGCGGAAAAAGACAGATAATCATGAGAGGAGGGCAGCTCTAATAGACTCTCTACTTAAGCAGCACAAACAGGCTTGGGCAGAAACTCCTCCTCCTTTGTCCTTTTGGACCCACAATGCTTCAGCCCCTGCCACCCTGCATTAAGCCATCTTTCAACTCTCTGTCCTTCTTTATCTAATAAACAGGGCCACTGGGTGAAAGCCGGCACTCCCTTGGTTCCTTAGCACGCTTTTATCTTCCCTCCCGGTTGCTGTGTAGGATACAGTATCAGTCACCTAAGCTACTATTGCTGGACCAAGACAGGCTGTCCAGGTCACACTCTAGGTGTCGAAAGTCTAGCAAAGCTAGACTGGTGCCAAAGATCCCAAGATCCTATAAGATACTTGTAAGCAAAGAGACAAAAGGAGACCACTGAGAACAAACATCACCAAATTAGGGATGAAAGTCCTCTGACATCCCACACTCTCAGTTCCCATTTGCCACTCTGTACTGGGAAATGTCACAATATGGGGAGGTGGCTGACGTCAGGAGAGATTGTGTGATGCTGGGCAGTGGCTGTAAAATATTGCCCAAGGAAGAGGTTTCCTGCATCCTGGATAAGTCTTGGGAAGAATCACCCCTTTAGACTCAAGGCTTCAAATTTCTGCCTCCATGTTACTGGCCTTTTGTCCCACCGGGATAATATCATTTTCCAAGTGGCTGCAAGCCAGAGGCTCTTCATTATCATTAAGTTGCCCCAGTGTCCCAGGTGCCACAGTGACTGAAAGGTGTCCTAGTCCAGGTGCACCTGTATTGCAGGAAGGAACAATGCACATTTATCAAAGGAAATTCTAGTCTGAGCCAATGGCTCTCCAACTGGGGGCAATTTTCAGTTGTCACAATTGGGAAGGTGTTGCTACTGGCACTTAGTGGGTAGACATCAGGGATGCTACTAAACATCCCATAATACACAAGACAGCCCTCACAACAAAGAAGTATCCAGCACAAAATGTCCATAGGCTGCACGGTTGAGAAACCCTGGTCTGGGCACCTCACCCACAGCAATGTGGAAATGCTTCTCTGAGTCAGACTGAACTCCCTCAGCAGCTTGGGCCATGCCCCGGCACTGCAAGCTTGTTGGGTGAGCTAGTTTTCCCTCACGCGCTGGGCCCACCCAGCCCTCCTGCCTGCAGTCCCACCCCCTTAGGGACAGCACTCTTGTGGCTAAGATGAAAGACTGGTGCCGCAGGCCCCCATGCCAACTCGCCACTTGATTGCTTTTAATTAATTCTGCTTGATTACAGCACATGGGAGTCGCATCGGAGAGATAAGACAGGCTCTTTATATTCTGTCTTCATTAAAAAGTTTGGATCTGGAAGCTTTTTCAAAGAGCTATGTGTCTCCTTTACTTTTGTGTCATTTTTAATTGAGGAGGGCACAGGGAGATGTGCCAAGCTGTGCTGAGCTGAGACTTTGCAAATGCAAGATGGGATGCCTGAGGCCCCTTTTGGGGAAAAAGCAGCTAGATTGGGATCCAGTGATCCGGATGAGATAGCCAGGCCAGAGCCAGTTCTCTGTGGCTGAAAGAGAGGTGTGGGAGGGAGGGACCACCAGCATCTCTTTTAGTCCATTAACAAGCGTGCATCAGTCCAGATCTATGGAACATGGTGAAGATTCTTTGGACTCCAGGGGGTGAGCTGGGAAATTGTACAATGGTGATAACAGAAAAGGGAAAGGGAGGGTGATGGGTCACCACCAATTATCGACAGCCACCTTCTCTAGCTAGAGGAGCTTTGCCTCCTTGGAGAGGCCTTGCCCAACTTCTTCGTGCAGATTTGATCACTCTTGCCTCTCTACAGCACATGGTTCATCTCTCTAGCAAAGCACCATATCACGTTAGTTATCTATTGCTGCATAACAAATTACCCCAAAACTTAGTACCTCGAAAAAGGTTTATTATCTCACAGTTTTGGTGCATCAGGAATCCAGGTATAGCTTGGATCAGGGGATCTGGCTCTGAGCCCTCCACGATGCTGTAATCACAGAGGGCAGGATCCACTTCCAAGTTCACTCATGCAGCTGCTGGTAGGCCTCAGAGGATCCACTTCCAAGCCCATTTGCGTGGCTATTGGCAGGCTTCAAGTCCTCACTGGCTATTGCTGAAGCTATCGGGCTCTTGCCACATGGGCTTCTCCATAGAAGAGCTCACAACATGGCAGCAGCCTTCCCTCAGAGCAAACAAGCCGGAGAGTGGCAGGGCAGCCGAAGACAGAAGCAGGTCTTTTTGAAACCTAATCTCGGGAGAGACATCTCATCACTCTTGCTGTATTCTACTTGTTAGAAGTGATTCCCTAGGTCCAGACCACACACGAGCATAGATCACACACCAGGGCATGAACACCAGGAGGCAG